TTTTATGTTTATGCTTGAATCGAACAAGAATAACAATGCAATATAATATGTATAGAGAGAGAGAGAGAGAAGAAAGACACAATACATAACTCCAAATTTGGGATAATCGGAAAAGTAGAATGAGAGAGTAATTCTAATAAAAAATAAGAATTGTTCAATGATATGATTGAAAGTGTAATACATCATCTATTTATAGATTCAATAGTGGTTTTTCATAAAAAGTACAACCATATTTAATAGTGTCTTTTGATTCAAAGGATATTAATAGCGATTTTATGAAAAAGAACAATTATTTTAAAATGGCATCTTTTAATCAAAACATATTAAATGTGACTTTAATAAAAATTGTGACTATTTGTCATAGTGTCTTTTAACTAGAAGGTGTTAACATGATTTTATAAAAAAGATGTAACCTTGAATTGGTGTCTTTAACCAAAAGTTACAAATTTTGAACTAAGAGTCTTTCATATTTTATTTACTTCACACATTTTCAATTTCTCCCAAAAATCACAAAGAATTTTTCAAAAATAACCTCCTAAAAAGGTCTTTATTTTAAAAATACTTTAATAATTTTTATTCAATACTTAATGATTTTAAATATATAAACATCAAAAATATTTATTTAAACATCATTATTTCCAACAATTAGTTACATACAACTTATTGGTAATGCCAACTGTAACCCATCCATCAAACAATTGATTCCATGTACAATGAAGTTGATTTCTTATAGAAGCCACGACCATTTGACCCACATCAGGAAAACCCATTGGTACACGCATTCACACATTTTAGATCCCACAAATAATGGCATTGTACAAACCTAATAGTACCAAAAAATAGGGACCCGCAATGAACGAAAATTGTAACCTTATCCCGTGTGCAAAAAGACCTTTCTTAATTCAAACGTGTACTACTCAAGTCGTCGCAATAAAATAAACTTGCCGTTAAAAATACACCGGGCTATCACATATAGACACAAAATAGATAAAAGACAGCAACCCATCAATGTTCCCTTCCATTACGCCAAAAAAATGGCTGATGCATTACAACATCCGGAGTGGAATTAGCTAATTCAACATACATAGTCTATATTTGGGTTGGACAATTTGTTAATCACTAACTGCAATTCAAGATGAATAATGCACACTCATGCACTTCTACTGCTATTGACACTGATTCTTTATTAGTCCATAGTTTTTCCCACTCCATACTTCGGTTCCTGTGCAAGAAGCATCATTCAAAATTTTGCCTGGAAGTACAGTAGCAAGATCCGACACCTTGGCTGTAATGACATTCTTTTCAGAATTCAGATTGAAAAATGCAAGATATATTTCTCCTGAAAAACAGACACAGCAATAGTTATATTGAAACCGAGTAGTAATAACAAATAAGGTTTAGGTATACTGGGCGACATGCTACTTCGTCTATCCAAAGGCTAATATTAGATATGGAAAAGACCAGCTAAACATATGACAGAAGTAGCTTTGCGAAATAACTTCTTCAAAGAGGAACGCGGATAGCTCAAGGAGAGTTAACTTGGAGCATTGATCTAATAACCCGTTGCTTATTTGAAGTAATCTAAAGTATGACAAACCTCACTAACAATATACAAACTAAATAAATGTCTAGTTTTGGGTTAACAAACCATTAACTTTCATGGATATTTCTTCTCAAAAGACAAGGGTCGTGTAGAATCTAGATATGCTACCTCATCTCTCTTTAGTGGTTAGTAAAAACCACAACTTTGCCACGTCACTTATAACAAATCTTTATCATGATCAACTATAATCACCCTAGGGTTCAAAATCTCCTCAGGACTCCAAAGAGAAGGAAAACAAAACAAAAGTGGTTGTAGAACATGTCCAAGTTCATGACATTCTTTTAAGTCGAAGTAATCACGATGGTTGGGAAATCAAACCTTTCCTTCCGGTTGCAATCCAAGAGCGAATCCCCCCAGAACCAGCATTAGCTGCATGAAAATTCAATCAATAGCTAGAAAATACAGAATTCAAATGTTGTCAGTAACTAATTGTGTAATAAAGAACTCAGCTTCAAATATGTCACCTTTGATTGTATTCAAAGAAGCACATAGACCAGAATAACTGTTAACAAGGGTTCCATTATGGTTCAACTCCCACATCTGTTTAGATTTTAGAAAAAAAAAAAATCAGGTTTTGAATGGACTAAAGAATTAAATAAAAAGAAAAAAGTTACAGATGAAATGTGTTTGTGCGGATAAGAATTATACTAGTTAGGATTGCCAAGTCACAGGGTTCACCACATGTTAACTGTTTGCTAATGTTCACTTAAGATTAGATGACAAAGTAGATCATCTATTAATCAGATGTAAGCTTGTTCATCCATACCAACAACTCTAAAAAATGCATGACAAAATTCTATAGCTATGAGGCCCTCGATTCAGACTAAATAGACCTGGTTGGCTTCCCATCTGCAAGGTGAAAATGAACCTCTCTTGAACTCTTTAGAAGTAAGTTTCTGTTTTGGAGAAGCATGCAAACAGAATTCCATGGTGTCTGTTGCATGTAAATGGAATTTCCCTTGATTTTGCAGCGTATGCATCGTGTCTTCATCTCTACATCAAAATCATCACCGGATCAAGATTTATCAAATAGATAGCAATAGAAGTAATGGGAAATGGTCACGGAAAGGTGAAGCAGATTACGATGCAGAAAGAGGTCTTCTCTTGTATAAACAAAAAGGAGCATGAGGTTTGCTTCTTGAGTTTCCTTCCCAACAGACTTGTTCAAGATCATCATCTATAGCTTTGATGGACCAACCTTTGGACTTGGAATCCTTGCAGCTAGAAAGTCCTAAAAAATGTGTTTCTGATGCCTTCACATCTGCTACACTGTTTGATTGCACACCTTGCTTACTAAGGTGAACAGGCTTTCCACCAGTAATATGAGGAAACTGCATTGAACAAGTAGAATTTTAATGATGCTGTCATGCCTATCTTTCCTCCAAAGAAGTATGCATCAGTAGATGAATTTTCTTGCCTCCATATTGTTTGAGCTGAAGGAATTTATTTCCAGTAGAATAGGATTTGTGATGAGATTGAATGTTATTTCATCAAGCTTTCTCATATCTCCTCCAAACATGAGAGGTGATTTGACCATGGACCACAGAGTCATCTGTCAGGACCACAGGTAAAATGTTTATTTAGTTGCTTGAAGTTGAAAAGGCCATAAAAACAAATTCACTGGCACTTATACTACCATACCTGACTTCTTTGCTCGTCTACATTAAGATTACAATATCTGTGAGGACCTTCGTTTGAACCTATTAATAAATTAAGATTACAATATCTGTGAGGACCTTCATTTGAACCTATTAATAAATAATAATATTCCATTAATAAAGGCTTGTCATTTGCCCTTTCTGAATCCCTAAAACCAAATAATACAACACAACGTTTCTGACCAAGTCTATTTCAGATTTCAAGGTCACTAGATCAACATTTTAATCATTTGGATAAAAGCTGGTGGATGTGATCTTAGTAATAACTTTCCTCCCACTGTTTAAACAAATTAATGGATCTATTCCACAAAGCTCTGTATTCCAACTACGAGTTTACAGGATCCACCCATCTACCACTCTCTAAACTACGTGTGAACCATTTAGTAGTACTTCATCTTGTTACAGTGAGCTGCTGGCTTCATCCCATCCTAGTTCTGTATTGTTTATCCTGCATAGTAGCTTCATCTATCTTACCCAGCCTCCAAAATCAGACTGGTTAGACAATTCATTAATGCATAGTATTTTCTATTTATATCTTACCACTAGTTCTGCTAATTAAAAGGTATAAGCATCTCTTTAACATGAATAACAAGTAAAGTACCCCGCCATTTACCCAACCCCTCATAGTGAATTGGTCAAGTTCAAATAAGACGCACAAACAGCAGGGCCAAGATTTATCACCTGGATCAGTAAGCCAGCCAAATGGTAGCATATCCAAGTCGGGCCACGACTTCCCCAGCAACCCCTTAGCTCCTATCATGTTAGAAGCAGAAAAGTCCCTGATATGGCATTAAGTAGTTATATGAGATAGAGAAAATAAAAGCAAGCATCAAAATGGACAAGGAACAAAAAAAGAAGCAATATGGATTCTGAATTGGAAATTTACAGAGTTACTAATAAAATAGAAGGAAGACAAGCAGTGAATGAAGATTAGGGAGGTGAACTGGAGGCTAATACTTTGTTTACCTTGCAACATCAAAATGGGCTGTAACATCTCCCCATGAATCCCAATCATCCCCAGTTATCCTGTACATGTTGACTAGACCACTTACATCCTTTGCCATGGTTGGTGTCACACTAGTTCCTGGAGAAAGGGAATAAAGGATGGGGCGGTTAATTTCCTTCAAGACCTGCATGAGGGCACTTTTAATATCAGCGGTATGTACTTTGCTGTCCGCTGTGAGCGTATAAATCCCACACAGAGTATTTAAGGCAGAATTTACAGAAATTGCAGCTGAAAAAAATGCACCTCTGACACAAAGCTGATCTCATCTATATTCAAATCGTCACCAAATACACAGTCATTTTTCACTGTGAAGATAAATGAAGCAGCAATCAGTTAGTAGCAGGCAAATAGAAATTGGCTACCAAGATAATATCCAATATTAAAAATCATCTGTGATTAATCGAGGCCACAAATTTGGAGCACTACCACAATGTTGCAAACACCAAGTCTTCTAGTGCCATCTCTAATAGAAATAGAAACAAGGAACTGACGTTCAGCTCTGGTAATAGTAGAAACTTTAGTGATCTCAAATAAAGGTTGAGGCATGGGTGGTTCATTGATTTTAGTTATTAGTGCATTTAAATATCCCAGGATGGGAGTCGTGGAAACAATATAAAGTCAGTGTAGATGCCATTGAAAAAATTAACTTATTCAAAATAAAATGCAGAGCATGACCAAAATTTATTTATACTTGATATCTGCATGTGCATCCTAACAAATTTTATTGCTAACACAGAGCTGCGGTAATGCTTAGAAACAGAGAGACTTATTTTCAGCCTCAGGCTGTTAAATTACCAAAATCAACGCCCCAGTCGGCATACTGTTGATAGAGGGACCTCAAAAATGCTCTTCCAGCTCCCAACTTCGTATTTACACTCATGAAACCATGAGGCATCCATGTACAAAGCCTATCTGTTAGTCCTATATCTTTTGCGTGCCATTGGCGTCCAGACTCTTCATAAGCACTTCCCTAACAAAACACAAAAAGAAACAGCTGTAAAAAATGCTAATCTTCCACACACTTGCATTGAGGAACAAAAATTAGGCTATAGTCCAAACTCTAAATGCATTGAATTTGCATCAAGTTTCTACATACTGGTTCTTTACCACATATGAACTCCAATGAATGAACAATACTCTGTTTCTACACAAAAGAGAGAGAATTTCTGCATATGGTAATGAGGCAGAATACCTTGGTGATGTCTAAGATTGGGGTATTCGCATTGACCGCCTGCGTGCTTATACCTCTCATAACATGAATCCCAAATTTCAAACCCATGCTATGAACTTTCCTGGCCACTTCAGTGAACCCTTTCCCTCCTCTGGAGGAAGGCCATCTACCTGGATCAGGAATCATCCTCCCCCATTCGTCAATTACATCAAAACCCAGAGAATCAGTGTAAGCGCCTTTAACTTTCCTTCTATACCAAAGGTAATCCACCACAACATACTACAGAAAATCAAAGGCAATTAATGTAGTTAAAAATTAGGCCCATATCTAATGAATTTGTCTACTCTCATTATGGAACACAAAAAGGCAAATGTAAACAATCCAGTGAGATTAAACTAATAACTTATGTGTAAAGACCTCATATCCATGAGCATGTAACCGCTGAGCTACAAGTTCTGCATTCTGAAGAAACTCTTCTTCAGAGATGGTCCAGCAGAAGGAATCAAATGAGTTCCAACCTCTTGGTGGTAAGCTAGCATGTTCTGATCCACTCTCAGCTTGAGTTTCACATATTACCCTGAAATGGGCAATCGTCTCTCATCTTTTGCTTTATAAATGTAATAAATGCATTAATAAAAACACAAATAAGCATAAACACCCTGAAGAAAAGATTTTCTGAACTGGGTAAATAATACAAAAAAAACTGCATGAACAGGGTTTGATTGCTACTCATTAAATTCATCAAAAAAAGTGAAGAATAGGACAATTCAATGGTAAGAAATCAATTTGTGTAACAGGACACTCATACAAGACAAGTATGACAAGAAGTGATTATGATATAATCAGCACCTTTGAAGGAAGAAGAAGATGAAGAAGAAACAGAGGAAGCTCCGAACGAAGACCTTCATGATCAAAGATAGTGTTCAAGAGAGAGAAAAGCGATAACGATGAATTCACACGTCGCTTTTCTTTATTGTGATGATGGACGGGAAGGACAATTAACGGCGTTAAATTTAGAGTTAACGGCGTGATGACGTGATGCCTGAGTTTTTTAAATGAACAATAATCCATTACATATCTGTCAGGTCTTTTCCTTTTTAAATTAACTATTTGTTATTTTATTTGACCTGTCAATGAAACCCTTATACTGTATTTGTCAAAATTTACGAAAAATCATCATATACACGTCATGTGAACCAGACATTAAATCATTTATGCTTATATTAAAAAATTCATAAAAAATAAATTTATTCCTTCTGCCTGAATTTCAAAGAAATTGGCAAGTGAAACATTGCCTTCAACCCTACACAATTATCTACAAAAAATCTCACGAGCTTTGAACACCGAAAAATAAATCTAACTCTATTAAATAATTATAATTACCAAAATTAAGGAGAAAAAATTGAATTCTTTGCCACGAGAAAGTGGTAGGTCTGAGTTAATCTTTGAGAACATGTTGTCGGTGGTGTTGTCAGGTGGCGAAAAGGTCGTTGTAACAACTGGCAGAAATTGGCGCCAAAGGGTTAAAGTAATGGTACCTAATTACTTTTGACTGACGGTAATAGGTTCAACGAACAAGAGCCTTTTATATTTTTGACTGATGGTATCCAAACTTTAAGTAAAGGATCCAACGTAATGTAATAATAGATTTGGGTATTTATTGAATATCTTAATTTAGGAATATTTTGTATTAATTCCTTTTCAGCATCTCAATTTTTTCCTTATGTTCTCAAACTAGTGCTTGATCTCTGTGCAAAGTCGCGTCGTTACTCCAATGGTAAATTGGAGTTTTTTTTTTATCATTATTATTATATTTTAAAGGTGCAACATGAAATTTTTTTAGAGAATCATCCATTATAATTCTATTATCGTCAAAGTACGCTTAACTGTAAAATTTTAATAAAATTCACTTCATTATGATTAACGAAGTTTGGGTTTGTTTGGTTGGTAGGATGTCACAACTATTGTTGGCGGGTTAGACCGAATGGGCCGCGGGTTGGTTTTTTTATAATTGAAAAACATTGTTACTCAAAATTATAATTAAAAAAAATAAAAATTAGAATCGAGTATAATATAGAGACCTCTTTTATCAATAGATTCACATGTAATCTCTTTTGTTAATAGTTACTCAAAACATTGTATTTTTTATAAGTAAGTCCAATAATTTTTTTTTTTTTTATTTCTTATTATGTCCTCTAGTGTATCATATACGCATTTCTCTCTCACACACACAAAACAGTTCCAACAAATCCAGTTGGCAATTTTTGCTATCCTAAATTCTCTCTCTCTCTCTCTCTCTCCCAATTCCTTAATTTTCACAGTCGCATTCAACAATTCACGATCATTCTCAGATTCATAACACAAACACATTCACACAATTCATAATCGTCTCTTTTTTTTTTTGAATCAATGAAAGTTTCCTTTTTCTATGGTGAAACTGCATAAAATTGAAAGTACAAAATAGTCATCAGCATCTACACATGCCGCAAGTGTCCGAAACCTCAAAGGAACTAAAGTAAATACTTTGCACATTCGAAATTTATGCAAGTAATTCTTGAACTGTTAATACTGCAAGAAGAAAAATCTGCCACCTTTTTTTCTACTTTGGACCGATGTATCCAAAAAATATTCTCTCCATTTATTTACAAAGTAGTTGGAAAAAAAAAAAAGGCTTTGTCCAAGTGTGAAAGGATTTTATCACCAAATATGAGTTCTTCCTAATGACCAAAGTCTTGTGTTCTTCATTGGTGTCGGGGGTTTGGTGACATTTTTCACTTTGCCCAAATGTTGTTCAATAAAATGCATGAGTAAAGAGTTTTATTTTATTTTGTACAAAGATTTTCTAGATCTCCACTTTTACTTGATTGTTTTCATATATTGATCTTGGATTTGTTTTGATATGGATGAAAATATTATGTATTTTTTTTTTGGTTTAAACTTATGAATTGTTCTATTAATAGATGTGGTTATTATTGTGACCGTTATTGTAATCTTATGACTGTTTAGTTCATGTTATTTTTTAATTCTATAGAATTTTGACACTGACTATAACTGTTATTGTGATCGTGTTATTGTCTAATCTACCATCACTCTATACTTTAGTCCTACCATTTTCTATAGTAACTCTACTCTCGGTCATCGCCCCTGACAGTAATTGTTACTGTTACTGTCATATTGTTACTATTACCATCTTATTGTTGCTATTCATTTTGTAATATAATTATTTATTTTACTAAGGATAAATTAATGTTTATACTTTTAGTTATTTTTTAAGTCCTCAAAAGAATGTTGTTGTCCTTCTTCTCCCAAAAGTCCACAAGTGTGAACCGACTTACAAAAAGTTCTTAAAAAATTAAAAGTTGTGATTTTTAACTTAAAAGGTTGGTACTTTATAACTTATTTGTTATTTCTTGTATATAGACTACTAATTTTTTAAAATTATAATTTATTCCGCATATAATAGTATCAAATATTAATTTTTCCACACAATGATTCAACGAGCCAAGAGGAAGGCCTAATGGTTAATGTGGTGTTGGTAATTACTCCTTCTATTTTTTTCATTTTTATATGCTAAATTCTAACATGGTAAAAGTAAGCTTTCATCCTTTCAATTATGAATTTTTTTTTTTAATTTTATTCCCTCAATTATCATATTTTTTACATTTTACTCTCAACTATGTAATTGGTTTAATATTGCTCCAATTATTAACGGTTGTTATATATTTAACAAAAACTTATTTATTTGTCCTTCGAACAATTTAATTCTTTTCACTTTTTTTCATCACATTAAAATCTTTCATCCAAAAAAGATAAATGTACGTTTGCAATTGAGATGATGTAAAATAGTTTTTCATTGCCCTAATTATTAACATTTGTTAAATATTTAATAAAAAATTTATATAATAACATAGCTTACAATTCAAATTTTAAAAGATAAACAAAATGACTTTTATTTTTCGCGGTTCAAATTATTTTAAATTTTACTTTAAAGTTAATTAAACGGTTAATATTAACACTCTAAATTTAATAGGAAAAATAAGAGTCTAAAGGTACGTTTAGAGTCACTTTTTAAAAGTACTTTTAGAAATTATTTCTCATAAGTACTTTAAAAAAAATAGTGTTTGAAACCACCCTTACCACTACCTCTACCACCATTACTGCCACCATCATCACCACTGTCGCCGCCACCATTACCACCATCACCGTCTCTGCCACCACGATCATTGTCACCCACTACAATCATCATCGTCTCCTACCACTACCACTGTCGCCCATCACCTCTCACGCCCCCTACAAATCGATGTTTAAATTCATTTATCTTTTCTCTATATTTGTGATTTGATTTTAAATATGAATACAAATATGTTTATTGTTTACAATTTTTTATTACTCTGTATTTTCAGGCACAGATAATAACTATTTTTTTATATTGTCCTTCGAACAATTTTCACTTTTTACCGACACATTAGCAACTTTCATCCAAAAAGATAATACACATTTGTGATTGGAATAATATAAAATAATCAAAGTAATTGAGGGGATAATATAAAAAAAAGTAGCAGTGCAAGGGACAAAGTAAAAACAAAGTTATAATTAATGGGGTCAAAGTGTAATTGACACCGGCGACACTAGTTGATTCCGAAATCCCCCACTCGGTCCTCCTAATCCTCTATTCTCCAATCGCCTTCTTTCAAAGATTAAACCCTAACAAAATCAGAGACGAAGAATTCCAGAAATGAATTCTCTGGCAAGGCAATCATCGATGACTCTCTTCAGACGTCCGAGTGTCTTGTTGAACTCAGTTGCTTCGGAGCTCCAACAATGGCGTGGGATTCGAGTGAAGGTACGGAACAACAACCTGGAACAAGCGCTGGTGTTTATGCAGAGGAAGATGCAATCGAGCGGGATCGAGCGACTGATAAAGAAACAGCAGACTCACCATATTAAGAACTCTGAGAAGCGCGTTTTGGCTCAAAAGAACCTCGAGCGTAAGATTCGATCGCAAGACCTCGCTCGTAAGCTCAAATCCATCCTCCTAAAGAAAGTCAGGTAAATTTTTTTTATAATTTTTGAATCGCTAAGCCGAGACGTGATTTTTTAGACCCTCCTTCATATACAATTTGTTATAGGTTTCCTTTATCCTTTTGAATTTCTGAAGATAATACCATTTCAGCGCTGCTAAGAAAAGAGAAATCAGTTTGAATTATGACTAAAATATATCAATTGGATGTTGTAATAATGATATCGTCTGGGGTGCTTTCATATTTTCCTGTTCTTCAGTATCGGTGCTACTAAGAACAGAAATCAACTTGAAAGATGAATTAATAGATCAACTGGATGGTGTATTTATGATATGGACAGCCTTGAGGGGCAGTTGACTGTACATCTAGGGGGTAAAGCACTGGTTCGGTGCAGCTCATGAGAGCAGTATGAAATCGAGTGAAACTCTATGACCTCAACGTAACAGGGGTCACGATGGGGGACAAGTTTCATGGGTGATCTGAAATTTTTCCTGAATTGGTACACTAAGAAGTGAAGTGCTATTGAAAGATTAGTGTTTCTACGCATGCCATGATTCCATTCGAAATACACATTATAGAAAATATATGACATGATTTTCACAATCTGGAAATTGATACAAACTGAGATCAATTAATGTGAAACATCATAAATAGTTAGAATATGTTTGCTTGCAAAAAAACAGAAGGGAACACAAAATTAGAACCTCACTATTAGATGATAAACTTTTATTTGAAGTGTTAGGTTCATGGAATATTAGAGAAAGATTGTGGAGTTGTGTGTGTTTCATATGAGGTGACCGAATGGATGCTTGGATAGAGTTTGTATTAGTCATGGTATTCCATTGCTCACGAAATTGCGAGAGAATGCAAAGAGTTTATAATTTCACTTCAAGTAAAGATAAACCAATATCATTGTTAAGTGTTCAATGTTTCACGTCAAGAGTGTTAAAAGTCACCTATATGCTCAGTATCATTCCTATGGGGCTATGCCCACATCACCAAGACAAATAATTGAGGCTTCAGCCCCCTCTCTTTGTGTTGAAGTATCCTACTAAGCAGCCATATAAAATGCCTTCATTTTCCCTTTATACTGGTTTATTTTTTTCTTGGCATCTTGTCCGAGGGTATTCTCAGTATCATAACTGAAGAATGAGGCTGTTACTGCTGGTTTCTGGCGGTCTTACTGTTCGGTTACTTGCGACTTCAGTGATCTTGTTTATTATCCACTAATGTCTAGTCTTGCTTTGGTTTTTCAAATGTGATTGCTCACGTGTGCTGATAGCCTTGCTTCTGTTATGTGCAGGGGTCTATGAGAGCAGTTTCAAACTCCCAGATTTTCTCATGGCTAAGTGCAAAAGGGACTATCCTGTTTGTTTTGTTTCTGTATGAATCACTTTCTACTGATTAGAACCACATACAATATCATCTGCTGTCTTGAAAATTTTTAGTTTCAACATCATTGGAAACTGGCACAGCAGGGTATTGAGGGGCCATGAGTTTTAATTTTGATTGATTTGGTGGAATTCGATTGCGGAATACTGCAGCTAAGCTGTTTGGTTTGGCATGCTTATGATAAAACGGTTCATGTGGCGGCTATCCATCCCCTTGAAATTAATCCAGTTTCATGTTAATTATATATGTTGCAGTCTGAGCCTCAAGCTCAATCTTTCCTAAAGCAATTTCTGTTGCTAGTATACGGCAAAAGGACTGCGTACACAACGATACTTGGTATTTATTACCACTTTAAATTAGGACACTAATTTAACCAAATTGAATTTTCAAACTTTGATCAACCTAAATACCCAAATATCGTACTCTCAAATGTGATATATGAGCAAATGTGTAAGTTCAAAATTAGAGTTTAGTGGCACAGATCAATGTACAAACATCAAAGTTGATTTCAAAGGAAAAAAAAACATTTCAAAACTTAGCACAACCACATATGTAAATGCTACTTAGTTTTCATATGGGATTGTTAACCACTGTCTCTGATTGTTAAAAGATCCTATAAACACTCAGTAGCTTATCGAAAGAGTCCTCAAGCCTTGAAATGACATTATTTTATCAATGTTCAGCTGGAATGATGACTGAGACCCTCCACTTTCACCACAGAAGCAGAAAAGAAGCACTTGTTCTGCCTGGGTAGTCCAGTCACCATAAAAAAGCTACGATGGATCCTCAGACTTCAGAAGAGTGTTTCCACATCCTTCAATGTCTCAGTCAACATTGTCGAGTGCCTTCTCAAATGAGAAAAATGGAGATGCATTAGAAATTGCCCTGGTTCCGCACCTTCTCCAACTACCCGTTTATCTAACAGAAATTTGCATCAAGAATTTAATCCATCACATCAAACAGAACCACCAGACATAAATGTATAATAGGAGCCACATAACAATAAGGTTTTTTGTTATACAAGTAATATTTTTGCACTTTGACAAATACAAGCAACAGATGAATAACTGAGTGATTTTAGATTTTAAACCATTTAGCAAGGCACTACCATAATCAGTCCGTGGAGAATGAAGCATTTCACAGCTTTCACTCCAAGTATTCCAATATGTCAGGAATTTAACAGGCCATCCCTAACTATCGCATCAACATGTCGCCTATGTAACGGTTTTAAATCATAGTCGGCATAGTATTACTCTTCCACTGATCAGAACAATGTTCCTACAACAGCTATTTAGCTAGTGTAAATGATAACAAGGAACAATCAAATATTCAGATAACAGTAGTAATCTCCTTAAGTTCACCGCAAGGATGCTCTGATAGAACTTACTTTGCTTTTTTTTTTCTTTTTTGTCTCCTACAGGTGAAGTTACGCACATCAACCAACAGACTGGGGGTTGGGTTTTTATTTTTTGTAGTTACTCACATCAATCAACAGACTGGGGTTTTTTTTTTTTTTTTTTTTTGGGGGGGGGGGGGGGGGGGGTTCACATATCATAATCATACACCAAGTCAATGATTATTGAGTTGATCCTTGATTCCCATCTTTCAAAGAAGACAAAATGTGACCCCGGAAATCTCTCGCACTTGAAAAATAGATGCCATATAGCCGATTAATTTATCGTGAAATTCAATAGTAGATTCATTCAATCCTGCCCTTCCTTGAATGAAAAGCAGCTGATTGGTAATTAATGTGTGCTCCTGTGGGAGTCAAACCCACCACATAGGCTTTTTCCTTGTTATACCAAGATTAACTAAAGAGCGCGAGGGAGATTGGATTACTTATTCGATTATTAACCACAAAGCTTTCCACAAGGAGCCCCCATAAGTCACACTAATAGCAGAATTAGGGGTATACAAAGTCTTTTACATGGCTGAGTGACCCTCCACTCAGCTGACTGAAGCCGGGGTAAGTTCCTCCCAAAACAAAAGGGACTAGAACTGCTCCACATATATCTCTCGTTTACTTTATACCTAGCAGAATCTTTAACAGATGATATCTGTTTTTATTGGCGAAACAGTTAGCATGATGAAAATATCATTCTGCCAAATTTCAACAGTACTACTGCAATCCAGCAAGATTAATATTTTTGCTTTGTCGTGCCATTAGGTAGTTTTCTATGGAATCAGGTTCACATTCAAAAGATCAATGATATGTAATTCTAGCAACGTCTTTGTAGTGTTTGAATGACAATTGATAAGAAAAGATGAGGTTTCTTCATTGTTTGTTATGTGTAAAGACCAGGCTTAGTAGATTGATATCGAAAAACATGTAACTTTTAAGTAAGCAGGTGAAATCATTACCTGAAAGGATTTTGCTGCTAAACCCCTTTTGAGTAAGGAAGTTGAGGCTATTTTCTACCACTGGACATGACTTTTCCTGCATGGGCCATCACAGCTGATCTATGAATAAGGATGTCAAAGCAATGCCTCTCCACTTTATGAATAGCAGGCCAATGGCATATGACTACGTTAGCTACTTTGGCAACCCGCTGCCCACATCACTTGATGAATGATGAGAAGTATTATTATAATTCATCGCAACAGGGAGAATTCAAGTGTCTGGCATCTGCTCTTCATCCATTTCACATGAACCTAAATCATTAAGCTGTTTGCATTCAATATCCCTCTTGATTTCGTCCTCCAATTCAGGCAGGGAAAATGACCATGATCTTATCAGGTTTGTTGAAACATGACTGGCCTTATCGACAGCAGGTAACATCACCGATGGGGGAGGCTAAGTCCCTCTATGCTTTGCAATGGAGGGGGAAATCCCTTTACATTGCAGACAAGTGGTTGCCACTCCCGAACCATGATTAGCAGAAAATGCTTCTTCTGGTGAAAGAGAAGCTCTCTTACAATTGAAACAGGCACTTTCCTCTAAAGAAGTATTGTTAAAAGGATGTAGATCTTTAGATTCCAGTCCTGAAGGTGAAGGCTGAGCAGATAAATATGACAAGTCAGACCAGTTAGAAGATGATGGTGAGAAGGTAAACGAACCATAGAAATCAGAGGTTGAAGGTGAAAGTGAAGGGGATGTGGAACTGAACTTTGTGTCGGTAACAAGAAAACAAGGAAATGAATCTCGCAAACTGGATGGAGACATTGGTGACAATAAAGGTTCAGTAAGAGGACCAGAGTATTCCATCTCTTTATGAATACCCTCCATCCAAATTGAACTGGTGGTAGTGAAAGAAGAGAAGAAATCTGAAGAACTACTCTGTGGGCTTGAAGGCAATGAATGATCAGTAGGAGAAACAGGGTATTCAATTTCTTTACAAGTCTCCATATTCTCATCCAGCCCATGATTTGACTGAGTAGTATCACAGCTTAATTTGGATGACATGATAAATTCTTTCATAAACTTCTGTCCCAATCTGCCCCACCCATTTTCTCTAGCAGGAAGACAAGTTTCAGAATCAGTTCCCGATAAGGAGCAAGGTGGAACAACTCCACCAGCAAGTGCTTTGTGAAAAATTTCAAAATCTAAATCATAGTCATCAACATTCCAGTGACCAACGCCTGTCTGAATAGCAGCAGCAACCTCGTCATTTCTAACGAAAGGAGTACCTGCCTTTCTAGCCTCTGCTTCATTGCAACCATCTCTTAAGAGATGTCTATTGCCAAGAGCATCCCAAAATTCAGATGGCTCCTCACCTTCTTTGATGATCATGGCAGGACCCTGTGCTCTTTCAAATCGGATAACCTGGTAGGCAGCTGTGCTCGCAATATCTGACATCACTGAGACACAATTCTTCCCAATCCAGACATATATAGCTGAAGGTACATGAACGACAAATGCTCCTCGGGAATCAAGGCCTTGAACACCAGGCTGGCCTATCAATTTTGGAACAAGATGAAGGGGATCATAAGGAGAGTGGGGTGCTATCCGATACATCCTTAGCACAGAATTTGGGCTTGCAGGCATGGCGTGTACCCGTTTCTGGCATTGCAAAAGTTGGCAAGCAAAACCCATATTAGGGTTAGTCACCCCTCTTGCGGTCTTTACATGTTGGAATGCATCTTCAAAGCTTTGCCGTTCCTTCCACATGAGGTATGCAATGACCAAAGAGGTTGATCGCGACACACCTTGGCAACAATGGACAAAAACCCGCCCACCTTGTTCTCGGACATCTTCAAAATAATCAAACACGTCATAGAGAATACTTGTGATATCCTCAGACGGGCTGTCCTGCAACCAAAGTGTCTTGTACACCAGATCATTCTTGAAATACTCAGGACAGACAAACCCAACACAATTCAGCACATGGGTAATACCATTCTGGCGAAGAACTTTGTGATTCTTTGCAACTGCATCACTTCCTAAATATACATGATCAACAATTCTCGAGCATTCCTTATCAAAATATGCAAGCTTGTCTTTCTCAGATTCAAATTCCCTAGGGAGTTGCTCATAATTTGAATTCTCACAGGTCTTAATCTGTCCAAGCCTAACACCAGGGGTAGGGGGATTAGCACGCCATACGCCAAGATCATCAGACCCAGCCTTTGGCCATTCCTCAATGTTCACTCTGGTGATTGAAAGAGGCTGAAGCGGAGGCAAACAAGCCCTTGCCTTATTATTCCATTGTGGTCTAGAATTATACTTTGTCGGCGACCGATCAGTCCATGAAACTGAGCGTGAATACGTTCTCCGGTTGTTGCCACCGCATGGCCTATCCTTATTATCTTCTTCCCCCAACATCTCACTAAGTTGTACTATAATTCCACAAATTCAATCAAACCCATCAGAGGGTTGTTCCAGGAAAGGCCATAGGGAACGTCAAAATTGAGTCTCAGAGATTATCAAGTTTCAACCAAGATTCCCCAAATTCAACAGAAACCATTTGAGGAAAGTTCCAGGAAGGCCATAGGGAAATCAATGTGGAGCATTCAGGATATATAGCAAACATTCAAAACTAAACTGTGCATTTTCTCACCTAAAACCCTTGACCCTCTATCTTTCTAATTCTCCTTTTCTATGTATCGAGAAAGATAAAGAATAAGTGACAAAATCAAACACAAATTAAGACTGGGTAAAAATAAAAATTAATAGAAACAGAGCTATCGTGAGGTATATAGATTCCACATAAACGGCTAAAAAAAGATGAAAAAGTGAATAGAAAATTAGAAGATTTTGCAATTTATTATATGGGTTTTTGAGATTATTAAGGATAGACTTACTGGGAGGAGCGAATTAGTCGTTGGGTATTTGCAGCAGACTGAAGAACAAAAGACCATTCAAACTTCAAACCTCTTTCATGAGAGAGAGAGAGAGAGAGAGAGAGAACGAGTTTGGCGGTTTTTTTAGACTGAACAGAATTGGTCAAACTACCACGTCATCGTATCATCACCGACATTAACCATTGCATGTCAAGTCTTGTGATGTCATTAAAAGCAAGAATAAATAAATAAATATAATTAATGAGTAATAATATATGAATTTAAAAAGTAAACTTAAAAATTAGACTTGATAATCTCAATTATTGATTTTACTGTGAATTTTAGCATGTATTGGGACTCACTACCTATTCAATAGTTGAAATTATTAAATCTATTTTTTCAGTCTACTTTTTAAGTCCATGTAGCATTACTCTTACTCATAATCAATATTGCCAAGAGGACTGCTAGGATCCGAAGATGTTATTGAAGTCTCACTTAATCTCTGTCCACGTGGCACATTACTATTGGTGATTAAATTTGATTGAAACGGCAAGTTTTTGAGAAGTGTTTTAAAACCTTGTCCGGCCCAACGGATCAACCCGATGAACCGATCCCCTGACCGGGCCGATTTTATTAAAAGACCGTTTATTTAAGGAACTCAGGATAAATTCATTGAATCGGTTAAAAATCGGTGAACCCGTGAGAATCGGACGGATTTAGCAAACCGGCTGGTTTAATTTCATTACTATAAATTTGAGATTTTTTCTTCATTTGAGTATTTTGTGTATTTTCCTTGCCCTAAATCGTTCAGACCAGACAACACAACACAATCGACTGAGCAACGCCTCAATCTCTCTCGATCCTCCCTCTTGATCTCTCTCTTTCTCGATCCATCCAGTTGACTAGAGTTCTAGACTTTTTTGTCCTAAATCGAGCCATCCAAACCACTAGGCATCATCGGCTGAGCATAGCTTCACGAGGCACCAACGACTGAACAACGACTCCAACCACTGAGCACAGCCTCCAGTCTAGTGACGAGATGAGTTCCCTCCCCCTTTCTTTCTCCACCTATATGTGTATATATATATATATATATATATATATATATATATATATATATATATATATATATATATATATATATATATATATATATATATATTATGTTTATGTTTCTGTATCTGTAGTTTGTGTGGGTAAGAGTTTTGTGATATGGAGGTTCACTGTTTTCTTAACACATATTGTTCTTGGATTTTTTGCACCACATTGTACAACAATCAAAATGGATTTGTTCAAATTGGCTCTGTTTGATCAGTGTTATTGAATAATTTGTATTTGTTTGACTCTGTTTGATTAGGCTCTGTTTGTTACAACATTCAAAATGCGTTTTGATTCCTATTTCTAGAAATCTAATGTTGTTGCATTATCAGTTTGAATACATTGAAATTTATATATGGTTGATGATTTTTTTCTACTTAACTTTGTATGTTTGATGTTATGTTTATAATTATTGTGATTTTTTAGCCTATTTATTAATATTTATAATTTTTTATTATATTACTGGTCCGACCAATGATCCAACGGTTGAACCAGTGACCCATTGACTTGGTCCCTTTGCCGGGTTGAGGTCCGGACCGAGTTTTAAAACACTGTTCTTGAGAGACTCGGGGACATGTTTGGATAGTATTTCAAAAACTGTTTTTTGTTCTCAAAACACTAAAAACAACACAAAACTTGTTTGGTTAGAATTTTATTCTTCAAATTTTCAAAAAAAAGGAGAAATGATATGTAATTTTAGAAAACAACCTAGGCTTATTTTTGGGTGTTTTGGGGACAAAAGATGGGAAAATGAAAAACATGGGAAACAAGTGAGCTTGTTAATGAGGTCTCCCATTCAAACTTCTTTAGTATCAAATCATGTTCTAATATAAAAGGTTTTTTTTCTTTCTCTCTCCCCGACTGTCTTTCTCCTCACCTTCGCTCTGAGACAAAACGAACACACACACGCACGCGCGTGCACAAACACACAGGGGCTTCAGATCCATGTTTGATCTGGTTCAATCGGTGAGATCAACTAGTCTTCAATCAGTGAGATCAACCAATCTTCAGATCTGATTTTTTTTTATTGATTTGATTTGATTTTTTGGTTCAGTTCTAATGTAGTTCAAGGGGCATCAAATATATATATAGACACACATATGTTATATACTGAACAGAGTGAGAGAGAGAGACTGAACAGAAGGATTGTATTGTAAATAGACTAATAGATCTAAAGGAATTGAACATGAACAAGAGAGAGAGAGACTGAACAGAAGAATTAAAAGGTGAGAGATGAGTGATTGTAGGAAGGGTTTACTAGCTTGATGATGAAAAAGCTCCCTGGTTTAGTTTTAATTGCAAGAAGATATTTTTTTTCGGTGTTCTTCAGTGTTTTTTTTTTTGAAAAAAATATTATTGGTGTCTGTATATTTTTTTTATTGAATTTGTTTGGTTTTATTTTAGATAAAGGTCATTGACATATTTTTTTATATTGATTTTATTTTTGATGAAGATTATTAAATATGTTTGGTTTATTTTAAAATGTGGTTTATTAATTTTTTTTTATGACATAGTCAATCTAAAAATAATTTTCTTATATTTTTTTATTAATTATTGAATTACTATTCAAACATATATTTAGACTGTCTAAATAAATTTTACTATTTTTTATTCTATAAAATTGTTTTTGAAATTATCTAACCAAACAAGTTTTTCATCTCAGAAAACATCAAAACACACTTTCTTAAAACTTTTTTCAAAAACTATTTTTGAAGATGTAAACCAAACAAAGTCTCGATCCTCAACTTTTTAATTTGTATCATTTTGGTCCAATTAAAAATAATTGTTAAACTTTACTAATTGAGATCATCATGTGCATATCACATGATTACAATTGAGGTACATCCTTTGAAAAATTGGGACTAAAGTTATACAAACTGTAAACTTAAAAAGACTATACTAATACAAGTTACAAATTTGAGAGATCAAAGTGACCTCTTAAACGTGATCATGCGATTTCCATTACTCAATTCAAATTGTTGTTTTCGATTAAACTAAAGTGATACAAATTGAGAAATCGAAGGACTAAATTGACACAATTAATAAATTGGGGGCCAAATTAACACAAAACGAGTAGTTTAGAGACTAAAAATATATTTTACCCTTATTTTTAATATAATCTTTTTAATTAATAATAGTTGGTTTACCATTGTATTATGTTTCCACTCTACAAATTTACTTATTAAGCGAAACACATCTATATCTTGTTTGAATTAAGGTTGGGATAAGATGTGGCTATGTTGTCTTAATAATATTATTATTTTCGAGTGAATATTAACTATTATATTAAGTTGAAAAAGAGAGAGTGATCTTGCATCCAATCTAGGGATGTCAATGGACCGAAGTGGGGGCGGGGAGTGTAGTCTTCATCCTCGTACCCGTTTAAAAAAACTCTGTCCATCTCTGGTCCATCCCCGTCCATAGATAAATTTTTAATCCCCAAAAAAAGGAAAAAAGAAAAATAAAATTGAATTAAGAAAACGATAGAACTACACTTGAAGTTTCCTAGAAGAATTTTTATTATTACAATTCATATTACAGCCATAAAGTGTTAAAAGATGAAAAATTAAAATTTCTCTAATTCAATAATTCTCCTAATTTCTTAGTTCACTCTAGTAGAGAAATTCATCAACCTCCATTCACAATATTTCTATCCACAATGAAATGCAAAACTATCTTACTCTCTCTTATCTGTTTTTAGAGCATGATCAATCCAAACTCCTAATAGTTTCAATCAGTGAACACAAATAGAAAAAAGAATAATCAGAAAAAAAAGTTGATAAGATTATCACATAGCAATGCCACTTGTTAATTTGATTACCATATTTCTAGATTAGTAGTTACAGTAAATATGTTTAGTTAAGACTTGCAAGTATATATATATATATATATAACAGGTAGTGGGGGCGGGGAGGGGAGGGGCGAGGGCGGGGCAGGGGTAAGGGTAAGTTCATCCCTGTTTTCATCCCCGTATGGGTTTATACGGGTATTCCCATATACGTCTACTGTCCAATACGTATAGTTCATGCCCTGTCCAAACGGGACGGGTTTGAACGAATACCCATTTTTCCCCGGTTCACTGTCATCCCTAATCCAATCGCATCCAACACCATGTTTGACAAAGGAAATTTTTGGGAATTTAATGATACTCTGTTTATTTCCTGCCCTAATATTTATCAGGATTGATTTAATACAGTGTATGACATGAGACTAAAAAAAGTGGGAAGTGAAAAGAGGAGAAATGATATTTATAATAGGTTTTAAAAGAGATAAAATTGGTAGATAATCTTACCCTAATTTTAGATAGGTCAATTTTCATATTTGAATTGCGATATATTTCAACACTTATCATTGGTTTATATCCGACATTACTATCTAAAATTGTTATAATAATTTATCATATTTTTAACTCATATAATGTGTAGAGTTAAACTTAGGATAAATCATAAATTTGAACATTCTAAATTTAATTTTCATTAGTGTATCTCGTGTTAAACCGATAGTTATTGTTAATGGGTAATTACAAGTATCTAAAATTTAATAAATTCTAAGTCATTATGTAAAAAAAAACTACATTCGTAGTCCTCTGGTAAAACAGCAGAGGCAAAAAATAGGTTGTACTACATTTAGTCAATGAGTTTGTCGGCGAAATTCAAACTTCAAACCTAATATTAGTAGACAAAGGTTGTAATTTGACCCATGCAGCTATAAGCCAACGAAATTGCTTCTCGATTGTCTCAACTCTCAACCTTGGACCAATCAACTAGACTCTTTGAATACTCTTTTTTTCCTGCAATGTGTGCCACAAAATTAGTCTCCAAGACCACAGAAAGACACATACAAGTGGGTTTTCAATTGTTCAACCATTTGGCATTGAAAATGAAATGAAAAGGAAGGCCAAAGGTAATGTGATTTGCCAACTTCCCGCTATGCTAGAAGATTTTTTGTATTGTTCATGATGTATGGTTTGTTGTTCAATTTTTTTTTTTTGTTCAACGATTTGGAATGTCTAGACCAACGTTGTTCAGTTTTATGAGTACAATAGTTGGCTCTTAAACTTGAATCAATAAAAATGTGTGAGAAAGAAATTAAATCAGTATATTTTATGAGGAGAATCCTGTGATGAATAAAAAACCCAGTTATTAGTTGTCCTACTTGTAGATATTAACATAGAAATTATGTCCCAAAAGATTTTGGATGAAATCTATAGTGGGTGGGCCTTGGCGCTGGGGCTGTTAAAATAAATTGAGATACTTGAGCTCAACTCGAATTTGACTCGTTTTTTAAACGAGTCCATCTTGAACAATTTTTTAGACTTGTTTAATTCAGTTCGTCTCGTTTATGTACAAATACTCGGGTTCGGCTTGTTCAGGCTCGACCCGTTTTTTAAACGAGTTCATCTTGAACAATTTTTTAGGTTCGTTTACCTTAGTTCGACTCGTTTATGTACAAATACTTGGATTCAGTTTATTCAGGCTCGACTCGTTTTTTAAACGAGTCAACCTTGAATAATTTTTAAGCTCGATTCAAACTTGTTTGACTATCAGCCTACTTGGCGCAATAAGTTAGGGTATTCTTATTTTGACGTGGACACCAATAATTCGAATCACAAAAATAAACTCTCTGCATGCGAGATAAGACGGCATACAACTAACCCTATTATTGCCGGTGAGGCTGGTTGGAACCTACACAGAGTCCAAGCCAAGCCATTGCCATGACCAGCTTTTGTATGGAGGCATGTTCCTGATGTATCCCGGATATCAAGCTCTTTGAGCTGATGAGTCAGCTCCTCCACTCTGTCCCTCAGCTGCGTCTCTGGTTGCCATGGCAGCATTCGGAAACTGCTGTTTCTTCTTTGAATTTGAGCTTGTTCTCCCACTCTATTACAGCTTGCTTTGCCTCAAGTTCCTGGCGTACTTCTGACAACTGCCAGAAGGGTAAAGACACATGGTTACATAGCAACTATGGTAGAAGAACATTAAAGGAGAAGTACATTGAAGTTGGAATTTGTATTTTGTGTGTGCTACATAATTATTTAAAAATATTGGTGGAAGGATGAAATGACACAACCTCAAAATGTATGGAGCTTCTTAAGTTCGTAACCGGTTTAGGTACTTACCAAGATTAGTCCCAATTAATGAGGACTGTTAAATGGAATAGATGGGATACTCACATAAGCTGTTGCATTGTTGCACTCAAGGGTAATGCTATTATTGGCAAACTGACGCATACTGGCATATGCTTTCTTCTTTTTTTCAGTATATAAGTCTTACTGGCATATTCCAGGCTCAACAAAAATTTCCCATAGTTTTCATCATGACTAACAAAACTGTATAGTGATCTCCGGTTTACAGAAAAAGTACACAGCTCTGCAAGACACTTGTGCCTTAGGAAAATATGGTATATTGCTCTGGCAAGTGGCAACGAATAGATATCTGACGCCCTTTCATGATTGTATACATACTGAATTTTATTACAACTTAATAAACAAATGAGAAGCTGTCCAGAAGATGAGATACTATTCAGAACAATCACCACTAAAACTCAGGCTTGTAAGGTCCAGAAGCCAATTTTTAAGCATATACCTGTGCCACCTTCCACCTTGCAATTTCTTCTTCAGCAGCAGCAACATCCAACCTAAGCCCTTCTATCTGAATCATAAACATCAATACAAAATCAAAGCAATTACTAATTAATATATTCTAGGACTGCAAATCACTTCTAACCACGTTTATATTGTCATATAATCAGACAACCAACCAAATGCAAGAAGAAGAATTATAGAGTATCGACTTTCAAATTGGTATTTTAAAACAATAAGTTCGGAAGAATTTCAAAATTATAAAGAAATGATTTACAAAATACATTTTCATTTGCCACTCTCTCCTCTCTCCTCTTCAGCTCCGGGAACGGAGGTCAGGTAAACTGAGTTCAGAAGGTCAGAGCTATGCAGAGTCAGAAGGTCAGAGCTATGCAGAGTTCCAGAGCTAGAGCTCCCCTCAAAGCGAGATAATAAGCTGAAGCAAGGAGGAAGCAACTGAATACTACAAAGAACTCGAAAGACGGTTTAAAATAACACTCAAGGCACAAAATCCCCAACCAACCAAGATACTCTCCTAAGACTAAGGAGAATTCCTCGGATAGATGACAAGGATCATGGATCGGATCCCATAAATTAAGGGATACCCCTATAAATACTATGCAACGCCCCCAACAGAGGGGCAAGAATCCTAGTATCACATCGTACATTCTGTAACCCTTTTTGATATAGTAAATAGTGAAAGAAGGAGCAAAAATCTCTATTGAAAGAGTGGATTAACCGAGCTCTTGAGCCGATGAACCACTATATTTCTACTGTGTTAATTCCCCAACTCTCCAACAATTCTCAGTATCACTCCCTCGAGCCTAGTAGCTCATATCCCAATAATTCAAAGATTGTTTCTTTCATTTACTCATCGTCACAAAATTGCATCACGTTGAAATACACCATCAGTTTGGCGCTGTCTATGGGAACGACTGTTCCTATTATAAACAAACTGATTTTTCAGTGACTGATGGTATCAACGCAAAACATGAACCGAAGTCAGACAAATTCACCACGGGTGCAAGATCAACAAGAAGCTACTAATAGCAGACAACTTGAGAATGTCCAAGAGACCAATCCACCCGTGGGGGGTCTCCCCATCAATAACGAGATGGAGGCCCTTCGCCTCGTCAATCAATGCTTGCTGAAACAAAATGAAGAACTTTTAAAGCTTTTACAACGCCCACAGAAGACACGACAGGTTCAAGAAGGCCAGAACAACCTTCCACCTAGGGGGCAATCACACCTCGACCCCCTCAGAGAAGTTAACAAAGAAGGGAAAAATAGTCAAATCATAGGGCCAGAACCTGGCGTATCCCCCAGGAATGGCCACAACGACGAAGGGCAGAGTCAGAACAAAGAAGGTGAGAGAAACAATTTTTTCCCTTATCAACAGGAAAGGAGAGAATAATACTGGGAGTAGCGCTTCTAGGGTATCCAGCAAGAGCTCAGCCACATGAAAGAAGTCGTGAGAGGCAAGGGCCTTGCTACAACAGACTGAATCTCCATTCACCACTGGCGTGCTGCATTTTTCCCTCCCTTTGAAATTCAGAGTACCCTAGATAGAGGCTTTTGATGGAACAAAGGATCTCGTAGATCACCTCAACACTTACAAGAACCAGATGGAGTTGCATGGATACCAGGATCCTGTGCGCTGCAGAGCCTTTGCCATCACGCTGAAAGTCTCAACCTTTGCATGGTTCAATAGGCTCCCCCCAGCCTCGATATCCTGCTTTAAGGAGCTATCCATATCCTTTGTGTTATCACTCGAACATACAAAAAGCCGAGTTACCACTTGTTAAATGTGAAACAGGGACCCCACGAGAGCCTCAGATCCTATGTTCATAGGTTCAACTCGGAATCGCTAAAAGTGGACGTCACAGACGAGAAATTTGTCATTACTGCATTTATAGCTGGCTTGGGTGTCCAATCTAAAGACCTGATGTTCTCCATCTCGAAAAATCCCCAGGCCAGCATAGCCGAAGTACTGGCCAAGGCAGAAAAGTACATAAACAGCGAAGAAACTCTCCTCTCAAAAGTAGGGAGCTCATCCATGCAAAAAGACAAAGGAAAAGAGGAGAAAAAGAGGGACCGAAGTCCCAGGAGAGATAGAGGACGAGATAGGTCCCCAAGAAGAGACAGAGATCTCTCCCCCAAAAGAAGGGGGGACGTCAGAGATCGCCTAGGACCACCTCATCCGGAGCTGCAGCTGAGGTATGCACCTCGGCAGATTCTCTCACTCACCACAACAATATCGCAAATCTTGTATGAAGTAGAAAATGAAAAATTCTTGAGGTGGCCACCTCAGATGAAAGTGGACCCGGCGAAAAGGGACCCCTCAAAGTACTTTGAGTACCACAGGGACCATGGCCATCATACTGATGACTGCATTCAGTTGAAGAAGGAGATAGAGTTCCTGATCCAACGAGGGCAGTTGCGTCGTTACATAGCCCAGGAGAATCAGAATCGAGCTCCACCACCTCCACCATTTCAGCAACAGGCTCCTGCGCAGCACCAACAACCCCTAGGAGAGATCAGGGTAATATCAGGGAGTTTTGCAGGTGGCGGGGAATCTAGTTCATCCAGGAAAGCCCACTTGCGTAGAATCAGAGCTGGTGAGGCTTTGGAGGTGTACGCTGTATCTAAAGCACCACAACTGAGCTCAAACATCACATTCTCAGATGCAAACTTGGAAGGATACCAACACCCCCATAACGACCCGTTGGTGGTAAGGGCTATTGTGGCTAACAGAACTGTTCACCGGGTTCTGATAGATAACAGAAGCTCAGCAGATATCATATTTGCTTTCGCATTTGAAAAAATGAGCATAGGAAGGGAAAAGCTGGAGCCCGTGAATACTCACCTGTTGGGATTTGCAAGAGAACGGGTGTTGTCGCTGGGCTCAATCCAGCTTGTGCTCACTATGGGAGACCCCCTGTCAGGCAACCACTACAATAAGATTCCTAGTAGTTGATGCCCCTTCTGCATACAACATGCTACTCGGGAGACCTTCTCTCAATGCAATGAAGGTCATCCCCTTAACCTATCATTTGGTCATGAAATTCCATACAGAAAACGGAGTTGGAGTGGTCCGAGGAGATCAACGGGTTGCAAGGGAATGTTATTTGACTTCGATGAAACAGAAAGAAGTTGAAAACATATGACTAAATGAGCTGGATATGAGGGACGAACTGAGCACCAGGCCAACGCCATCGGAAGAGCTGGAGCCAGTTCAGCTTGATGAAAAGTCAGAACATCTCGTCTACATTGGGACTAAACTGAGCAGAGAGGTTAAGGACCTTCTCATCCTGTTCCTGAAGGAGAATATGGGGGTGTTCGCTTGAAAATAAGAAGACATGAAAGGCATTGACCCTCGGTTATCATTCACAAGCTGAGTGTGAATCCTACTTGCAAGCCCATCAAGTAAAAGCGAAGGAGTTTTGCCCCAGAGCGTCAGAAGGCAATCAATGAAGAAGTCAACAAGCTTCTTCACGCCCGAGCTATCAGGGAAGTAGATTACCTTACCTGGTTGGCCAACGTGGTTCTTGTCAGGAAAACCAACGGCAAATGGCGACTCTACATAGACTTTACTGATCTCAACCGAGCGTGCCCTAAGGATAGTTTTTCTTTATCCCGGATCGACTTAATAGTGGATGCCACCACTGAGCACGAACTCCTCAGCTTTATGGACACTTTCTCAGGTTATAATCAGATCAGGATGAATCCAATCGACCAGGAGAAGACCTCTTTCGTGACTGAGCAGGGGACTTACTCCTATCAAGTTATGCCTTTTGGGTTGAAAAATACGGGAGCTACCTACCAGCGTCTGGTGAACCGAATGTTTCAAAGGCAAATTGGGACATCCATGAGGTCTATATTGACGACATGCTGGTGAAGTCACTGAAGGCAGAGCTCCACATTGCACACCTAGCAGAATCGTTTTAGGTCCTTAAGGAATACAAGATGAAGCTGAACCCTGCCAAATGTGCCTTTGGAGTATCTGCGGGAAAAATTTTGAGTTTCAGTAAAAACAGTAGAGGAATAGAGGCTAACCCCGAAAAGGTTAAGACAGACCTAGAAATGCAGCCACCATCTAACGTAAGGGAAATTCAATGCCTGACAGGGAGAATAGCAGCCTTGGGACGTTTTGTGTCCAGAACAAGCGACAAGTGCCAACCTTTCTTTCGAGTCCTAAAAAGGCATTCCATTGGGATACTCGATGCGAATAGGCATTTAGGGCTCTAAAGGTTTATCTGAGTTCCCCACCTCTGCTGGCAAACCCCTTGGAATGGGAGGTACTTGCTCTATATCTGGCTGTTTCAGATTTCTCGATCAACACAGCTCTGGTGAGGGAGAGAGACAGAGTTCAGCAGCCAGTCTACTATTGCAACAAAGCTTTGAGGGGGGCAGACGAGAGATACCCAATGCTCAAGGGGAACGGGGCAGGCTTAATCTTAACCTCCCCAGATGGAGTAGATGTCGAATACGCACTCAGATTTGGGTTTAAGGCTTCAAACAACGAGGCAAAATACGAGACTATCATAACTGGACTCAACCCTTGCCCATTCAATGGAGGCAGAACAGTTGGAGATCTGCAGTGATTTTCAATTAGTTGTAAAGCAGATAGAAGAGTCTTATGAGGATAGAGGCAAAAAAATGGTGCTTTATCTCAGAAAGGTACAAAAGCTGACCAAGAAGTTTGTACGAGTCCAAATTAGACACGTTCCAAGAGCTGAAAACTCACGAGCAGACGCCCTAGCGAGGCTGGCAACAGCTTCTCAGGAAAGTTTTGACAGGTTAATTTCGGTGGAGCACCTAGCTGAACCATCTATATGCGGAGAAGATGAAGAGGTGCTGCCTGTGCACACCTCATCGAGCTGGATGGACCCCATCATTGGATACCTCAAGGATGGAGTTTTACCAGAAGATCCCAAAGAGGCTACAAAGCTAAGATCCAGATCAGCTAGGTTTTCTATTTTGCTGGGAAGTTTATATAAGCGAGGTTTCTCAACACCTCTCCTTAAATGCGTGGGAGCCGAAAACGTCAATTACATACTTAGGGAGATCCATGAGGGGGTCTGT